CGCCAATTTTCCAACTTCGTCACGACAAAAAAACAAGAAAACAACCTTTTTCGAAATAAAACCCCTTACGCTAAAAATCCTACCGAATGGGTTCCTCATTTGGGTTATTCGGAACCCAAATCAAAAAAGTCAAAATTTGGGTCGTAATAAAATATGAAGTTGTGTTGCTGTAAACTTATACAAGCTATATTAAATAGCTGTTAACGCTGTAAACTTATACAAGCTACGGGTTTCTCGTCACCAACTTTTTGAAAAGGCACGGCGTTCCGATATACTGGCATCTTCTGAATTTATTTCGAACCGCTGTAAACTTATACAAACTATATTAAATAGCTGTAAACGTATACACATTTAATTAATTCTCTGTAGACTTATGCATGCTTAATTGTGACTCATAATTAATTTCGATTCGAGCTTGCATAAGTTTACTGACATTTAGTTTAAATTGTTTACGTTTACAGCTATTTAATTTACCTTGGATAAGTTTACAGAAATATGGCAGAGCTTCCAACGGTTTTATTTACTTCGAAGTAAGTAATGTATCGTTGGAATTCTTGAGTCACCCCATTTCCACCTTGATTTTGTATGTCCGTTTCAACTTGCAACGAAAAAGTAATGACCTACGTGGAAGCGCGTCATTGTCATTCACGGATTAACTTCCGACTCCTCAAGTGCTTCCAAGCTCCAGTCTTCTCACCATGGTCCGTCTTTTTGGTATCATCTGCACTCTCGCCTCTCTCTCCGGTATCTCAGCCCACACACCGTCATACATCTACAAGTTCGATGCAGCGTCCGCTGCCGGCGTCGACGGCTCCATCCAAGTCAAATACGCCGCGGAAGACTCGTCCACTGCGACGATCACCGCCAACCTCGACTTCTCCGGCGTCGACCAGGAGAAAATCGCCGAGTTTGACGGCAACTGCACGTCGGACGTGACGAGCTATAGATGGCACGTCCACACCAAGTGGAGCTCGCCACTCACTTCGGACTCGTTCGCGCAATGCTCCAAGGCTGCGACAGACAACCACTACGACCCGTTAAGAGCTTGCGGCCCTGCGTCTGAGTACATTGCTGAGCCCGAATGTAAGGCCAAATCGTTGACCTACGCGTGCAACCCAACCAACTACAAGTCCGACCCATCGGTATGCGAGAAGGGAGATTTGTCTGGCAAGCTTGGAGCCTTCAACTTGGGCCAAGACTCTACCATTTCTGTCGAGTGGACGGACGAGCACTATCCGCTCCCATCGGAGAACACAGACACATGGAGCATTGTACTCCACGCTGTGTGTGGAGACCAAACTCCTCGTATCGCTTGTGCTCTTGGCCAGAAGGTTGTTGAGGAGTACGAAGAGGACTACCACCAGAAGTGCTAGAACTGTAGCCATGTTCAACAAATGGATACATTAGTACCCAATCAAATTTCGTAATTCTCTTTTCATCCAATGAAAACGTTTCATTTTTAACGGAGCTGCTCACTTGCCATCATGCGGTCTCTGCTACCGCCTCGCTCGCTCGCGCTGCTCCGAGGGAAGTTCCGTCGCGCTTTCTCGACCAGTGAAGAGGCTCTTGATGCGGTGTATCGGAAACTACTGGAGCTGGACGATTCTGACACCTTCCGAATCACAGAGGCGCAATCAACGGCGGTGAAGATGGCTACACTGGGCTATTCAGTGTTCCTGCACCTCCCTACAGGCGCTGGCAAGAGTTTAGCCTTCCAGACGCCGGCTTTATTAACCGCCGCAGATAAAACGACTCTCGTTGTGTCTCCACTCATTGCACTGATGCATGTACGGCCTATAAACTAACACTCAATAATTTAGGATTTAGAACATGTCTAAACCTGTCGTTGTATTTTCGTTTTTCTTAGGACCAAGTTGCGGCTTTAAGACGCAAAGGTGTCAGTGCAATCCAAGTATCAGCAGACGACAGGAACAAGTCGGTGCCTTTAACGCAGCTTTTATCCGGTCAGAGACTCGTATACACAACGCCAGAGTTTTTACAGATGAACGCCGAGATGAGAAAATGGGTACATACAGCAGACAAGGAAGCCAAACTAGCTCGGATCGTACTAGATGAAGCCCATTGCGTACTGGAGTGGGGCAACACGTTCCGCCCGTCGTATCTACAGCTCAGTCACTGGAAGAACCGCTTCTTTAGCGATGTACCCATCACATTAGCCACGGCCTCAGTATCGGACGAAGATATCGCCAAGTTGGCGGAACTTTTCCACTTACAGTTATCAACCCCAGCTCCAGTTCATAAAGCAACACCATCTAGACACACCCAGATGGTCTTGGTGCAACAAGTGACAGATCGGGAGAATTTACGGATGGAAATTGGAAGGAAAACGTCGCAGTCTGCTCAGTGGATTGCGAATAGAGTGGGGAAGGAGACGACGATCGTGTATTGTATGACGCGCAAGGAGGCGGAAGACACGTGTCTGGCGCTCGTTCGAGCTGGATGCCACGCTGGCGTTTATCATGGCGGACTGCCGCGGAAGAGGAGGGAGTTTGTACGCAAGCAGTGGATGATGGGCCAGTTGACCATCATCTGTGCCACCAGTGCCTTCGGTGTACGTTGTTTATTGATAATACGTGCTTAGTTAAAGTATTCTAACACTGTTTTGTGTGTGTGTTATTTAGATGGGGATTGATCGGTCAGACGTGCGGTTTGTGGTGCATCATTCGATCCCGCTGTCGCTTTCAGCGTATTCACAGCAGATTGTACGTGTTTTAACTCGTGTTTTAACGGTAAAATGGGCTCTAACCGGTGGTTTTAGGGACGAAGTGGTCGGGATGGAAAGCCCTCAGTGTGTGTTTTACTCTATTCAGAAGCAGACAAGGGCCGTGCAGACGCTTTAACTACTGAAGGACGTGACTTCGAGGGTGCAGTATCCAACGGGAGCTCTCGTGGCGAACTGGAAGAAGTCGCTGCGTTCTGTGAAATGGCCACAGGCTGTCGAAAGGAGCTGCTGTATTCTCATTTTGGCTTCCGCTTTGATCCCTCTCATTGTGTCAAGAATTGCAACTGCGGTGAACCTCTTGATGCTGATAGTGAGTTTTGGCAAGAAGAGATTGGCTGTGAACATGACTCCAACGTGAACAAGTCAGACGAGGAGGATAGCATTTCTAGGGGTATTATTGAGTACCAGTACCAGAAAATCTTAACTGAGTCCAAGCGGTTGAAGCTTCCGAAGCGAGAAGCTCTATCACGTCGTCTTGTACGGGTAAGGTCGAGGTTTTACGCTGTGGATTTGTGCTGTTATAACGTGAAAACTGTCTGTTGTAGGATATTCTTGAGACTGCACCGGTATCAGAAGAAGAGATGGCAGGCATGCGAGGTGTCGGGCCTGCAAAAGCTTCGAGATATTTTCGCTTATTTCGCTTCGACTGAGTGACAAGCAGGAGGTTCTCTTTTGTTGGAACCCTCACGCGCGAACTGCGTGCTGGATGGGAGTTAGAATTCTCTTGGCCTTCGACACATTTCTGTAATCTTGCCAAATGACAAAAGTCCGACAGGGGCAGCCAGAATGAG